TATCATGTAAGTTCATTGCTCATCGAAATGAATGCAAGAGTTATACGAGGACTTATGCATTATTCATTGTTATTTGCAGGCGGACAAGCTGAGCTGGGATGAGAAGCATCGCGTCAATGAGGAGCAAATCTATTGCTATTGCGGCAAGCCTGGAAAATTCGATCACAATATGTTGCAATGCTGCAAGTGCAAGAACTGGTTTCACACCCAATGCATGCAGAACTTTAAGCGCAAGCTGCTACGCGGCGATATGTAAGTGTGTCAGGTTGATTTTCCCTATGAATCAGTGTCATGTGGAATATATATATATATATATATGGGAATATACATATATTTTGGTTAGACTTTATATTGTAGAAGCCATTTATCGTAGTATCAAGATATATTTAGTTGCATTGTTGCACAATTTGTATATACTGTGCATTGCATTTCAGTGTTTATTTAATTACTATTTAAAATTGGAAATAACTATACATAGTAACTATACATAGTAAAAAATAATATGAAATTTAACCGCAAGCTGTTGGGCGGCGGTAAGTGTTGCCGACTAATTGTCCCTATAAATCAATAGCATCTTAAATATGAAATTGTATGGCTAGAGTTGTTTTTAGTTTAAATTTTATATTATTGTGGATAATCTGTTATTTTATGCGATTCAAGATTATAAAAGTTATTAATTATTAGAAATCAAATTGAATTTAATGATAACTAATTCAGTTGATCTTGTATTACATTTTGACAGCTTCTTTGTATTCTGTTGCACTGTGTGCAACAATGGCGTTGAATTCATTCGTCGCCTTCAAATCGATTGGGTGGACATGCTGCACATAACGCTCTACAATTTGCGCAAGCATCAGCACCAGAAATATCATCATTTGCTAAAGGACATTTGGCCGTTTATACTGGAGCAGCGACATCAGCTGCCCATTTGCGAGGAGTGGCGCCAGTTGCCGGAGACAACGCTAATGGAGCGTATTAAGCAGACGCTCAAGGAGTATTCGGATCGTTTTGTCTGTGGACGAGAGTTCAAGCGTGCGCCTGCCTACTATGCACTGCGGCACAGCGGACCACCATTGACGCCGCGTGTATTTCTGCAGCCGGATGATGTGCTATGCGATGAACTGTTGATTAACAAGTTTAAGCTGCTTTTGATGCCAGAAGAAGACCTGGAGACCGGTCGAGTGCAGTCGAATGCGGTTAAGGAGAGCGCGAACACCAAAAATTCGGCGGCCAAAGATGTGTACGAGTTTCATACGGACGATGAAGAGGAAGCAGCCGAGGCCGAGGCGGAAGTCGACACCAGCGAAGATGAGATACCCATCAAGCAGATTATCGACAAGGTCAAAAAGCAGAATAAGCAACAGCAGCAGCAAAAGGAGCAGCCAGTGACATCGAACGAAGATCTGCAGGTACATTTTAAATAATTTATTAAATAAATAAAATCATTAATAACATTTTGTTGGCAGATAAACAARTCGGGCAAGCGCACGCCTGATCTGGCAGATGATAATGCCAACGATGGCGATCCAAGCAAATTGCAGCAAATGGCGCCCGCTCCACCACAACTGGATTCCACTGCCAACAGCAATGGCATTAGCAACAGTAACAGCTTCAGCAATAGCCGCAAACGCAAGGCATTCCGCTTGTCGAAACGTTACGACAACAGCCGCCACTGTGATCTCTCTTCAGATGAGAATTCGAGCAGCAGCCGTGGCACCAGCTCACTGGATCTCATCATACCGCCGCCGGCAAATTTTCTCGGTCGCAATAATCCCTTCTTAATGGCCACGCCCAAGAAGTCGACACAGCAACGTGTCGGTGGTGGTGCTTCTGCCGGAGTGGCGGGCATCATCAATAGCATTTTTAAGCTAAAGAACGTGAAGCAGTTGAGCAGCAGCGAGCTGGCCAAGGCAACGGCAGCCGCACAGCAGCCACGAATGGTGCGTACCATTAAGCGAAGACTGAGTGCCAAAGATATTACCATTGGGCCCAATCAGGAGGTGCGCCGGCGGCGCACTCGTCGCCTGACCACGGCCATTGAGGTGAGTGTGCAAATTTAAATAATGGTTCAAAATTATTATAATTTAAATTCTGCTATCCTTTTCCCTCGACAGGTGATCAATACGACTACAATAAATCCCATACCCAGCCACTACTTTCCCATATATGCCAAAGATTTGCAGCCACCGGCGCCACTGCTGCCACCAGAGAAGCCCAGTCATGGCCGTTTGCTGCGCCAGCGACCCCAAAAATCTCGATGCGGCACACCGACAGACAGTCGACGCAATTCCACCAGCTCYACAGTAACCAATGGCAGCAGCAGCACCAGCAGCGGCGGAGGCGGTGCACCCGGTGCCAATGGGCATTCAATGCTTGATCTAAAGCAATCTGTGAACAGATATTTCGGTGGAGCCATGAATCGCATCGATGCCGGCGAATCGTTTGCCATACGCGCCAAACGCCGCATGAGCAATGGCCAGGTGCAATATCTGGTCGAATGGGGAAGTGATTCGGCGACTGCTGCTGCTGCTGCTGCCGTTGCCCTCACAAACGGAATCTAAGCATTTGGCAACTAATGCTGACAACTGATAACTGATAACGGATTACTTATTATCTATTATTCTTCATTGATGGTATTTTTTAGTTATGGCTTAAGCCGAAAATTTGCTGCCAGGTTTTTAGGCCCAATTTTTGTTTTGTTATTCTTAAAAAAAAAAAAAAAAAAA